TAATTACTTAATTGCCCCATCTTCTTCTCCATTGTGTCTATCCTCTCCTTTTTTTTTTTTTTTTATCACCCTTGCTGGGTTGTTCAATGCAAACCCAGTGCCACGCCTGGGCTCTTCAAGAACCCAAGTGCTGGGTTCTTCTTTCCAAATCTTTAGATCTGACTCCCTCTTCTTCTTCTTCATCATCTCTATGTATACAGAATCATGCCTTTCCATTGTATTTCGTATTCCATTTTCATTTTCATTGTCTTTGAACATGAATGATGTGGATTTAACTTTTGACTTTTGAAGTTAGTTTGATGATTAGATCGTTCATAGTAACGATTTCGAGTATTGTAGCTGGAGATTCGGATCTCTTTTATTATGTATTTCGCTTTATATATTACTTTACTTTTTTAGCTTGCATCTACTGATTCTGAGTATGAACGATTTCGATTTAGTTTTTGAATTTCAACCATTGATTTGATGATTCAAAGAATTGGATCTTAACTTTTATGTTATCTGTTTTCTGTGCGTGTTCATTGTGAGATTTTGCTTTTAATTGATGAAATCAGTGTTAGTCTTTGAATTTCGATTTAGTTTTTGAATTTCAGTCTTTTCAACCTATTGATGCTGGCCAAAAGAAATGGATGGCTAGAACTAGGCACGACAAACCCAGGGCTTGGGTTCACGACGAACCAAGGGCCTAGGTTCACGAAAAACCCAGGACGAAGGCTCCAAAGGATAAGACAAAAGGGGGAAGAAGGGTGAGATGTTCATGGTGAGATACTTTATTGGGGAGTCATTGCCAATTTATCAGGAAAAGGACTCAGCTAGATGAGAGGAGAGAAGAAGAGAGGAGAGGAGAGGATGAGGGGAGAGAACAGACTCTGTCGACTTTGTGGGAGGGAAGGGCTAATATTTGATAATGTACGGACAATATATTAACAATTTGGAAACCTTTTATTGGTCATTTTGACATGAATCAATCATGCAACCATGGATGAATCACGCGACAACTTTAGCAAATGTTTTGGTGGTTAAGAACTTGAACATTTGATCATTAATTTTTTGGTGAAATTTGAGCGTCAATGTTGGATATCTTTTTTTCAAATTCTAAAATAGGTGGAGAAGGGATTTGACAAGGGTGGGTTATATTATATTAGTAATGACTCTTCATGTCAAATTTTGAAGTAAAATTTTGGTTAAATCCCCTATCCGTGAACATAGGACTTCTTATGTGTTTTTATTTTTATTTTTTAATTTTTCACAAATTTTGATAGTGTATTAATTAAAGAATTGCTAATTAATTTAAATATTGTGGGACTCTCACACTTTAATAGCAACTCATATTTGATCCTAATTACTCGGGTAGTGTTAATTACTTTATCCTATTATCCTTTTGAAAATACAATTAACGTTACCTTATTATAGTATATTTTTTAAAATAAAATTATCTTAATTACTGTTTCTTAATAAGTTAAGTTTATAATAATGGGACCCACTCCAAATTAATCTTCTCTTCTTTCTCTCCATCCCCGATATCTTTCTCCCTCACTTAGGGTGTCTCCCTCTCTTCTCAAGTGTTATCACAAATCATAAAGTCATTCCAATTTCATAATGAAATTTGAATCTCTTCTCCATAGGAAGACACGATTTCTTTGGAATTGATCCTTCAAAACAACTTATATAGTTATAATGCAAGACATGTGAGTTTGTATTGGTATTGAATTTTGGCGTGGATCTTCACAGTCGTCATTTGCCGTACTTCCGGGTCATTTGACGTGGGGGAATGGGGGTCTTCCGTTCACTTTGATTAGTATTGGCATTTGACTGTCACTTTCCTTACTAGCCATGTTCATTTTTTAATGTTGTCCCCAAGTGGATGCTTTTTCAAGTATTTTTTTTTAATTTATAAATTCTTTTCAATGAAAAAAATTTATAACTTTATAGCATAGAATAAGAGTATATTATATAATAAGTCAAATAATTGGATTCACTAATATACAAGTCTCAACTTGTAGGTCGCATTTAAAATTCAAGATCCTGAGTTGGCACTTAATGATATAAAATTTTTCTAATAGACCGACCAAGTGAGTGATGTGCCTTTAAAATTGCTTAAAAAAATTAGTCTTAAAATAAGTAAAAGCAAATATCTAATTAGTTTTACTTTTATAAAAGTAAACAATAGTTATAAAACTAATACTATCTAAATAGTTTTAATTAAACATTTGATAAAATTAAAGGGATAGGGGATTCAAATTTTATTTTAAAATTTGAAATGAAGAATCATTACTCATATAATATGAGATAACCCAACCTTGTCAAATCCCTTCTCCATCTATTTTAGAATTTGAAAAAAAAAAAAAAAAACTTCCAACATAAACGTTCAAATTTCACCCAAAAAAAAAATAATGATTAAATGTTTAAGTTCTTAATCACTAAAACATTTGCTAAAGATGTTGCGTGATTCATCCATGTGTGCATGATTGATTCATGTCAAAATTACCAATAAAAGATTTCAAAATTGTTATGTCCTGTCCGCAAATTATCAAATATTAGCCCTTTCCTCCCACAAGCCACAAACTTAATGCATTAGGAGGCACTCATCAGATCAATATGCTCCAACTTCGCTATATCCTATATTTCTATTATTATGCAAAATGTCTAAATATTTTCTCCTAGACGCAAATCTGCAAGCTTCGGACGAGTTCCAAGTACCCTTTCCATGTCAAATCAGACTTGTTGTATCCAACCACCATCAGCCAGTAAAGAAGCTTGGCAAGTTCTGAGGCACTAGTCTCTGGTACACTTGTCTGCAACATATTAAAAAGGAAATTAGGAGCAAGAAATCAAATGTAAAATAAAATGGCATGATTATTGTATCTCAGAAGATGATTTATTTCTTCATGCATAGAACCAAGTTATTTCCAAGAAAATATTGTTTTTAGTCCATACATAAATGACTAGAAAAGAATAATGTTATGGGTCTCTTAGTCATTTCAGTCCAGAGTGGCGCTTTTACTGGAAAATAGTATTCTCTTCTTTACTTCCAATATGTGTGTGTGCATGGAGTATGGTTTGAGCTACACATTCAACAAAATGATCTAATTTTGAAAAACCTTTAGATAATTGTTTGATAATATGGGGAAATAATGAAAATTTAAACCTTAATGTCAAGAATATATGGAACAAAAAAATGAAGAAAAGAAGAAAAGACAGTAAAGATGATGATGATGACAATAAATGATAAACCTTCATTTGGGTAGGATCAGAAACAGCCAGAAGACGCTTGATGAATGTGTTCATTGCAAGCACAACATCCTCACCAGCATTACTAGTCAACTCCTAGAACAACAAATAATACAAGTTCAAAATTTCATAACCTTACCAGAAGCCCCCACCACAGTCAATGAAGGACAATCAGGGAAGCAGAAAAACTTGACTCTGCCAGCAAGTGCCAACTACAGACAACAAAGGTGATCGAGATATAACACAAAATTAATAAGTAAATAGCTTCATTTACCTTCAGATTTTGTGGCTCAAGAGACCTGAGATATTCCAATAGCTCATTTTGTCCATTTGCAGTTTTTCTACCAACTTGACGATTCAGTTCCTCAATCTCTGCTTCTAGAAACTCAATGTACATTTTAGCATCTATTCTCTCAGGACCAGAAACATTATTCAACCAGAGAACTTCGCCAGATACATTCAAGAACTTCACCAGATACAATCTTTTGTGTGCCAAGTGCATAATCCAACGGTTCCTGCGAAGATGGGATCCATTTAGCATGAGTAAAATAACTTATACAACATAGTGTTGCCAACTATGTAGGTATTGCAATCATCATTATGAAAAATAAACATTGACCAGTAACTCACAAGAAGAGGAACACATTGACAAAATTCCAAAATGGAGAACAAGTTTTTTTCCCATAAAAATACAATATGTAGCCAATTTTAGTAAACCAACAATAGACCACAATTGATAAAAGCAAGGTTTACATGAATTTCATCAAAGAATCAAAGAAACTTGCAAATTTGATTTGGTTAGCGTCAAAGAGTACCGAAATATGAAAGATGATAAGATGCAAGCATGCATTGGATGACACATTTATGACCGGTGATATGATTATCCAAGACAATATTGTGCCTGTTAAGATGTGAACATAATAATTTAGATTATATTCACATTTATTGTAAATATTTTATACCCTAAAATATTCTTTTTATATATTTTATACCTTAAAATATTCTCTTTATAAACACCTATATATATGTCATTGTACATACAGTATTATTTAAGAAAACTTTTCTTCAAATATTTCTCCTTCTTTTTCGATATTTATCATGGTATCAGAGTTATATTTCTACAAATTCATTGACTTTACCAAATGCTTTCTTGGTTCCAAAACTTAGTTAGAATCTCTTATCTATTGGTTAGTTATGTGATCTTAGTCTTGAAATGACTTTTTCTACTCATGGTTGTCATGTGTAGGACCCACAGATTGGATAACTTCTTCAAACTGGTCGCAAGGTGGGGCGTTTGTTTAGCTCAATTATCTGCATATACCTGATAATAAAATGGACCATCATTTCCAAATGACCAATTCATCCAAAGCCTACTTTATACTGCTAAACTAGAGTCTTTGCAAATTCCATATCAACAAATCTTCCAAGCCTGTGTTGCTACTAATATTTCTCCTCTTCATTTATGGCACTCACATCTTGGACATACCTCAATTGATAAACTCCGTGCTCTTATCTCTTGTGGTTTATTTGGATTTGTTCCAAATGAATCCTTGCATTGTGTGTCATGTCAATCTGCAAAACAACCAGCTTTATTGTTTACTAGTAGTCATTCTCTTTCTGTTGCTTCTTTTGATCTCGTGCATTCTGATGTTAGGGGTCCATCTCTGACACCTACCATGGGGGGTTCCAGGTATTTTGTATTATATATTAATGATCATATTCGTTTCACGTGGATATATCTTATGAAAAATTGCCTTGAGTTACCACAAATTTATATTGATTTTAATTGCTACCATGGTCAAAACCTAGTTCTCTAAAATTATCGAAGTTTTGAAAATTGACAATGCCATGGAATATCTTAATACTAAACTTCAATCCTTTTTGAAAGAACAGGGTACACTAACACAACAATCTTGTCCCTACACTTCTGAACAAAATGGGTGAACCGAACGTAAACACAAACACATCCTTGATTTTGTTCATGCTTTGCTCATTTCATCTTTTTGTCCAGAGCAATTTTGGGGTGAAGCTACTCTTACAGTTGTTTATCTCATTAATTAGATTCCATCATTGGTCCAATAATAAGTCTCCAGACGAATGTTTGCATGATATTCCTCCTGCCTATGATCTTTTTAAAGTTTTTGGTTGTGCTTGTTTTGTTCTTCTTCTACCTCATAAACATAATAAGTTAGAGTCTAAAGCTCGATTATGTTGTTTTTTGAGTTATGGGATTACACATAAAGGTTATCATTGTTGGTATCCTGTGTCACCAAAACTTCGAGTCTCACGTTATGTTGTCTTTTGGAACACACTATGTTTTCCTCATTATCAAACTTTCAGGTGTCATCTTTTGATCAACCTCCACTTTTTACTAACCCTTCTATTGAGTTATTTCCTAATGAATATGATGGAGATATATTTGATGAGTTCCACGATGCCTCTCCACATGCTCTACTTAGTTCTATAGAAGAT